TATTCCACCTTAATTCCAGCTGCAAAGAGGACTTAATTTCAGATTAAATCACCTAAATATCAGGTTCTAGAAGCCCCATCGTTCTTCTACATTGGTGCCGCACCTTTTCATCCCTTTTCTTCTAGAAACCTCCCACAACATCCTTTTCTAGAAGGCCTAACCCTTGCCGCAGGTTCTTAATCCTTTCTCCCCTTGATTTCTCCTAGTCCTTTTCCCCTACGATTGTGCAATCCTTTTCCCTTCAGAAATTGTGCAAAACCCTAGCCTATAAATACATGTCTTTGCCGCACAATTCAAACCACCACCGCCCATATATTCACACCATAATCCGCACCACATACACCAAAATCTCTCTAGTGCCGCAGCAAGGAAGGAAGGAGAAGAAGAGTGTCGTGCCTGCCACCATCTAAGGGAGTGCCGCAGCCTACTTTGGAGTGTTGGAGCGTTTCTGAGTTTTTTTCTATCCTTAGTTTTAGTTCGATGTTTATTTTAATTTGGTTTTCAATTATGATGAACATGAGGAGCTAATTTCTTTTTAGTTAGAGGTGAATTCAAAGCCATGAACATATATGTGATATGAATTGATTTCCTCCAGTTATTGTTTCGTAAAACATGAATGCGATTTACTTATCTGTTTGATTGATAACTTATTCTTGTGTGTTAATTAAGGATGCATACTTAGTTTGTATGCATGAATCTGATGCTAAAATATAAGAGAATTTCACCTAATAGTTATGAACTTATATTTATAAGTAGTGGAGGTTGCTAGTCACAATCATGTTAAGTAAATCCATGGCAGGAGTATCATGCAGTTCATAGTTACGAATGCCTTGTTAACGCTTATGATTTTCACAAAGCTTAATGATCTTTGATTGTATCTCTATTATGCTGTTCATGTAGGGAACTATTGAAGAATAATTTGGTTGTCGATGCGTTATCCATCCAATTCAATGAACTTAGGGAAATCTGAAAGTTAATTTGTGCTTCTCACGATTAGTTTGGGGCATTTTCATTCATGATTTAAAGGAATAATAACTGGAAATCGAGTTATATGCATATGTGTCATGTGTGGAGAAAGACTCTCTAGCTAGCCTTTCACCCTTAAAACACCCAATTTCGTGTCTAACCTGTTTAGTTTATGCAATCTGTTTATTTTAATTAAATTTTTCAAAACGAATCCCCCTTTAATATTTTGTGTTTGAACTTAGTTAAAATATGTTTAAGTCTATTTATATTAGTGTTTTGAGTCAAGTTAAGTTTAAAATTCGTCCAAATACCCCTTTAGTTCTTATTTGTGTTACTTTAGTTTCAATTCGTCAGAATCTGTCCCTATTTAGTATTTTGAGTCTCTTTAATTCAATTTTCATCCAAATCACTTTCTAGGACCTGTTTTGAGTCAATTTAACTGAGTTTGTGTGTTTTGAGTCTATTTGGCTTGTTTTGAGTTGTTAGAGTCTAGTTTTCTGTTTTTGGGTCTAGTTTAGTGTTTTAGAGTTTAAATTGTGTAGATTAGCATCCCTTCTAATCCCCGGTTTAGAACAATCCCTACTTACATATACTACAATTATAGGGTTTAATTTGTATGCTATTATATATCACATCACTTGCCCAACAGTAGAATTGCTTTGAAGGGCTTTGGAAGAGTGCAAACAACCAATGCCAAAAAGCAACAATCCAAGGGCAACCCAAAAATAAATGAAAACAAGACTCATAGTTCGTGGTAAAAAAGAACAATATTAAGAGATGAATCAGTAGAAGACGACCATGCAAAAAGTTTCACATTGTTGGATTGTCCCTAGATTGGACATGCTGGGACCAAATGACGTTGCCTGTTGCCCTTGGTAAGTCGAAATGAATTAATGTATGTATACTTCTTTAGCTGAAAGGGAACAAGACCAATATGGAGAATCGATTGAAGGGGTTAATAAAAGGGAGTCATTTCAATTTGCGTGGCCACATCATGGAGAGAAACAATCAAAGTGTATGGAAGATCCCAAGTAGTACCAACATTATAAGATCACGTTTTCGAGCATCAAGTAGAGTGAGTTAAAACTTCTGGTGCATACGTTTTGTCTGTTCATTCGACCGATGGTACAGGATGTGAGAACTTGTAACTTGTTCAACATCCGATTTTGGTAGAAAAACTCCCAAAACTTCTGCCGTCTTGGGGTTAAATAATTTTTTTTTATTTTGATAAGTGAATAATAATTACTACGTTTTGTAATGTTATAGACAAAAGAATATCATAGTATTGGAAGAAGCATGTGCTGTTACAGATAGCAAGACAGCACACAGCAAGACAGCAAGGGTGTGCATGTGATTGCTTACTCATGGACAGCAGGGAGGTCATGTGCTGTTACAGACAGCAAGACAACAGCACACATGCAGCAACCTCCCTGCTGTCCATGAGTCAGCAATCACATGCACACCCTTGCTGTCTTGCTGTGTGTTGTCTTGCTGTCTGTAACAGCACATGACCTCCCTGCTGTCCATGAGTCAGCAATCACATGCACACCCTTGCTCTCTTGCTGTGTGCTGTCTTGCTGTTTGTAACAGCACATGCTTCTTCCATTTGATACATAGACCAACCTTTATTGACTGCAACAGACAATAGAACCCTTACTGAGTTCATTTTTGCAATAGGAGCAAATGTTTCCTTGTAATCCACCTCAAATGTTTGAGTGAATCCTCGAGCCACCAGCCTGGCTTTATGCCTCTCAATCGAACCATTAGAATTAAACTTGATCTTATAGATCCACTTACAGCCCACTGCCTTTTTTCCTTGTGGAAGTTTGGTGATGCTCCAGGTTTTGTGTTGGTCTAGTGCTTTGAGTTCATCTCTCATTGCTTCTTTCCACACAACTTGATTATTAGCCTCATAAAAGTTTTGAGGCTCACTGTGACTTGAAATGTTGTTAAGAAAGGCAGCATGAGATGGAGTTACCTTTTGATACGACACGCAATTTGAAATTGGATGCCTCGGTTTATATGTGACAAAATCTTGAAACCTTGTGGGAGGTTGTCTATCACGCCGAGGATTGCGTCGAGGTACTAGGAGGTTTGTCTCATCCTCGTTCAAATTGTCATCCACACCTTGAGGATTTTCTATGTTGCCGTTATCATCATCATGCACCGAGTCATCATCATGCACAGAATTATCAGGATGAGTACCTTCATTATTGACTTCAATGGGAGGTGTAGAAGTACAGATTCTTGGTAGAGGAATTAGGTCTAAGATGCACTCCCCCTGACTTGTGGCTTCATGTGATTTTCTGAAAAAAGGGTTAGCTTCATGGAATTGTACATCTTTAGATACAATTATTTTTCTTAGTTGAGGATCATAGCACTTATATCCTTTTTGTGTTGATGAATAACCAAGAAAAATACATTTGAGAGCTCTAGGGTCCAACTTATCTCGATGGTGTGACTGTATATGAACAAAACAGACACAGCCAAAGACTCTAAGATGTGAAAGGTCGATTTTTCTTCCTTTCATGACTTCAAGTGGAGATTTAAACCCCAAGACTCGGCTAGGAAGTCTATTGATGATGTACACAGCCGCCATGACTCCTTGTGACCAAAATCTCTTTGGTACGTTCATTTGTAACATTAATGCTCTCGTTTTTTCCAGAATGTCACGATTTTTCCTTTCAGCTACACCATTTTGTTGAGGTGTGCCGACACAACTTGTTTGATGCATGATACCATGCTTGCTCAAATATAATGACATGATATGGGACATATATTCGGTGCCATTGTCAGATCTTAAGGTTTGAATTTGAGAGGAAAAATGGTTCTTAACAAGATTGTGAAAATCCTTAAAAACTTCAATCACTTCACTCTTAGACTTTAAAAGGTACAACCATGTGGCTCTAGAGAAATCATCGACAAAAGTTACATAATACTTATAACCATCAAAAGATTCAAACGTTGGTCCCCATACATCTGAGTGAACTAGTTCGAAAACTTTACTAGTCCTAGATAAGGATGAGGTAAAAGACAATCTGGTGGCTTTAGACAAATGACATGTTTCACACGAAATTAAATCATTACCTAAGTTTGGAAACAAGGAAGACAAAACAGGTTGGGAAGGATGAGCTAAACGTTGATGCCACAATTGACTATCTTGGGATAGACTGGACTTGGCTTGAAATCCTCTGGGACTGTTTTTTGATATGTAATAGAGGCCATCAAGGTAAAACCCTTCACCAATCGTCTTCTTGGTGAGGCAATCCTGAAAAATGACATTGTGAGGAGAGAAAATGGCCAAACAATTTAAGGTATTGGTGATTTTTCCCACAGATAGAAGTTGAAATGGAAAAGAAGGAACAAATAAGGCTACTGACTCAATTTTGTCCGATATTAAGTTGATATTTCCCTTCCCTAAAACCTTAGAACTCTCACCATTGGCAGTTGAGACTTGAGACGGTTTTGAAAATTTTTCAAACTTGTGAAACTTAGAAACATGGTTGGTCATATGATCTGTGGCACCCGAATCAACAATCCACAAATCATGCATCATATTTACATTAAGAGCAGTTTTAAAAGCAGTCATGATACCTTGCATGTCATCTTGGGCCATGTGTTGTGTTTCTGTCAGAAATCCAGCAAACTTGCCTAGCAAAGCTATTGAATTTCCATCTTCAAAGCCGACCGTTTGGTCACTCTTAATCCTTTCTTTCTTGCTTTGAAGATACACTGCAAACTCATTTATGAGTGCAGCTGGATTTGCAGTGAAGCTCTTGAGTGCATCAGACCTATGAGAGGTTGAGGTAGTTGCATTGTTGGCTCTATGTGGTGCACGGTTCAGTATTTGTGAGCCCTTGTTATCCTTCATGAACTCTGGCTTTAATTCTGGATGTAAAATCCAGCATGTCTCTTTAACGTGACCAGTATAGTTGCAGTGTTGGCACTTTAAGTGTGGATTCTTCACTTTGTATTTTCTTTCGTTGGCTAGATAAGCCCTTGCTTCAGTTACACTGGTCTTTGTGCCAGTGTTCATGGCTTTCCTTCGTACTTCTTCACGTTGGATTGTTGTCAATAATGAAGGTACTTATCCTGATAATTCTGTGCATGATGATGACTCGGTGCATGATGATGACAACGGCAACATAGAAAATCCTCAAGGTGTGGATGACAATTTGAACGAGGATGAGACAAACCTCCTAGTACCTCGACGCAATCCTCGGCGTGATAGACAACCTCCCACAAGGTTTCAAGATTTTGTCACATATAAACCGAGGCATCCAATTTCAAATTGCGTGTCGTATCAAAAGGTAACTCCATCTCATGCTGCCTTTCTTAACAACATTTCAAGTCACAGTGAGCCTCAAAACTTTTATGAGGCTAATAATCAAGTTGTGTGGAAATAAGCAATAAGAGATGAACTCAAAGCACTAGACCAACACAAAACCTGGAGCATCACCAAACTTCCACAAGGAAAAAAGGCAGTGGGCTGTAAGTGGATCTATAAGATCAAGTTTAATTCTGATGGTTCGATTGAGAGGCATAAAGCCAGGCTGGTGGCTCGAGGATTCACTCAAACATTTGAGGTGGATTACAAGGAAACATTTGCTCCTGTTGCAAAAATGAACTCAGTAAGGGTTCTATTGTCTGTTGCCGTCAATAAAGGTTGGTCTATGTATCAAATGGACGTGAAGAACGCCTTTCTACATGGTGATCTTGAAGAAGAAGTCTATATGAGATTGCCACCAGGACACCCTCAAAGCCAAGAGCCTAATTTGGTGTGTAAGTTACATAAGTCAATTTATGGACTGAAGCAATCACCACGTGCTTGGTATGCAAAACTAAGTACCGTTCTTCATAGCATTGGTTTCAAAAGGAGTAATGCAGATTCATCATTATTTGTTCGCACAAGAGCTGCAAGCAAATTAGTTGTGTTGATATATGTGGATGACTTAATAATTACAGGTGATAATGCTGCTGAAATCACCACACTCAAACAGTCACTTCAACAACAATTTGCGGTTAAAGATCTTGGGGTGTTGAAGTATTTTCTTGGAATCGAAATGGCATCTTCTTACAAGGGACTATTTCTTAATCAACGAAAGTACGTCATGGACCTACTTAAAGATGCCAATATGAGTGATTCCAAGCCTGCACTTACCCCTCTTGATAGCAAGCTCAAGCTTGACTTGGGAGGCACACCACTCTCGGATATCAGCTTATATCAGAGGCTTGTCGGCAAGCTGATCTACCTAACGATCACCAGACCAGACATCTCACATTCAGTAAGTATTGCCAGTCAGTTCATGCACTCTCCCACCATCGAGCATCTGAACCTTGTCAAAAGAATCTTACGTTACTTAAAAGAGTCTGTTGGTCGTGGCATCCTCATGGCAAAGAATGACAACACTTAAATCATGGGGTACTGTGATGCTGATTGGGCAGGAAACGCAATCGATCGCAAGTCCACCACTGGTTATTGTACCTTTGTTGGTGGAAACCTGGTCACGTGGAAGAGCAAGAAACAAACTGTCATCGCAAGATCAAGTGCCGAAGTTGAATATCGTGCAATGACCTCAACCGCGTGTGAGCTGATATGGCTAAAAAGACTTTTATGTGACTTAGGTGTGTTCACAGCTCAACCAATAACCTTATTTTGTGACAACCAGGCCGCCATGCACATAGCATCAAACCCCGTCTTTCACGAGAGGACGAAGCATATTGAAGTCGACTGTCACTATGTCCGTGAACAAGTACAGTCGCAGGTGATTCAGACACATTATGTAAAAAGCTTCGATCAACTGGCTGATATATTCACTAAACCTCTGGCTTCTCATCAGTTTCAAAGACTCCTCTCCAAGCTTGGATCCATCAACCTACTGGATCCAGCTTGAGGGGGAGTATTGGAAGAAGCATGTGCTGTTACAGACAGCAAGACAGCACACAGCAAGACAGCAAGGGTGTGCATGTGATTGCTGACTCATGGACAGCAGGGAGGTCATGTGCTGTTACAGACAGCAAGACAACACACAGCAAGACAGCAAGGGTGTGCATATGATTGCTGACTCATGGATAGCAGGGAGGTTGCTACATGTGTGCTGTTGCATCCGAAGCTTTCTTTGTATTGTGTATAAGTATGCCTTCCCATAAGGCTTTCTTATGATATGAGAAGTATTACAATTCAAATCAGAAAAATCAACACATAGCCAAGTTGACTACAACAATAAAGTTCAAATATCCTTCATTGTACCTTATAATTTCCAAAAAAGAATAAAAAATGAATATCCCATCGAATAAAAACAGAATTTATAACAAGATATGACATAATGCTTTTTTTAATAGTGTACGTTGTAATCTTATTTCGTAGACACGTGTCTGATAAGTCTGACAAGACATAAATTTTTCTCTGACCCAGACGAGTCGAAATTTGAAAAAAAAAACTAATGAAAAGAGTTTGAAAATTTTGCATTTTAACAATAAGAATAAAATAAAAGGTAAAACGAATAATGACATGTTTAACTTTTTAGTATAAAAATATAATTTTTTATTAAAATAAATAGTACCGTAAATCTTTCGTTAAAACTCCCAAGTTTGAATGAATAAAAGTCATGCATTCTCCATTTAATAGTATTTCAAAAGAAAAATAGACTGTTTCTTGATAAAGGTGACGTGATGGCCAACATCAACATGCATGCTTGTGTTTCAACGTTATTGGTTCATCCAACTGAGATCCATATCGTTAGTGTTGCTTTTTGTGAATGAGGATCCTTTCCGGATTTTTTTTGTGAGATTTTCAAATCGTGTTCTTTTATAGTACATTGTAAGGTTAATTTTTATCATATACTATTCATACTTAATTTTAAATAAAAGTATTTAAAATGATTTATGACTGTACAATGAATAGATACGATTTAAAAATTCTCAGAATTCTCACAAAGAGAAACCAAAGAGAGTTTTATAAGCTTATAATTGGTTCTGTGGACTTTTAATCAGTGTGGGATTGTGTCTTGTGAAATGTTGGGTGGCACATTTTACTTCAAGCACGAGGTAGGCTGCTACAAGAGGACGGGTTCACAATTGTTGATTTAATCTCACGTTGCCGTTTTCATTTCCGAATGAGGATCTTGTACGAGGATTTAGAGGATTCTTTAATTGTATATGTTTATTGTATATTGTGTGGTTAGTTTTCATCATATACTATTTGTGATTAATTTTAAATAAAAAATTTAAATTAATTTCTGATCTCATGAAGTACGATGAATGAACACGATTAAAAGATCTTCAAAATCCTCACAAAGAGAATCTGGATAAGATAATCATTAATCATTTCCAGCCTATGAATAAGAGAATTTGCATGCAAATTGGGATATTCACAAAGAGAATCTGGATAAGATAATCATTAATCATTTCCAGCCTATGAATAAGAGAATTTGCATGCAAATTGGGATATTAGAGCAACAGTGTCTCAATCATAATATATAACGTCGCATGATTAGTTTGGCTTGTTTAAATTATCTCTCAATCTAGTAAAACTAAATATTAGCACAAATTAAAATGAGATTTGTGAACAACAACAGAGACCGAATAATATTCCACTTCCCATCTACACTAAGTCGGACTTTGCATGGAAAAGCGAAGATACGTGAAAATTGTCTTCCCTGACGAAGTCATGCTTTCGAAGGAGTGAAATATAAAATTTTATAAGTTTTTCTTGACATTAAATTTACGGAAATAGTATGTATTTACTTCAAAATACCAACAAATTAGCAATTTGTATAACATATATAGTGTTGCTTATTTAACCATGCATGGTCTATGATTATTAATTTGTAAAATTCAAAGTGACAAAATTACTTTAGATTTGCAACACATTGCTTAGAAATCACACCGGTGATCATTTTAGTATTATTCGGAGTGGAGTTTTTCAACTGCGACTTAATTATAAAATATTTTGACCTAGCTAGTCTGGGTTCGGTTATTCTAAACTCCCCCTCCCTCTTATTTTCTTTCGCATCAAAAGCTTCCGCCGCCGCTCCAGAAATATATATACACCTTTTTCACTTAAAAGAATCTCTCAAGGAAAAATTGTCATCTTTAGGATTCTAGAACTTTGTTCGTCATCAATGACTGTTTGTTAAAGCACACGTGAACGAATGACGTTCTTAAAATCTTAATAATTAAAGATTAGTCAAATGGTCGTCGTTTTCACAAATCTAGTCTCGCATGGTATGGTCAATATAAGATTTAAAATTTTGTGTCCTGGGCTGGTACAATGTATTAATGTCCCTCTGATGGCCTCTCAAAGACTCGGCATGCAACCTGGCTTTTAGTGGTCACTGGTGGTCGGTGCCTTCATTGTGAAGAAAACGAAAAAGTGGGGTGTGGTTACAAAATTTGAATGCGATTGAAAGTACAAGGTTACTTTGTTGTCCATGATATGTTGGGCATACCAAATTAACCCATTCAGTTGGCACATGAACGATTCATTTCCACTGTCTAGACAAAAGAATTTCATTTTCCTCTTTTTTCTTGGGCAGGAGCAGAAATGAATTGAACTTCTATTTTCTTCTGTTTCTTTCCATCCCAATCGGTGCGATTGTTTTTTTGTTTGATCTTAACACCATCTTGTGGTAATATCAATTTATTTAAGTTAAACACAAATTTTATGTTGGTACAATCGATGTGGAGAAGGAAAGAATGGAACACAAGATCTCAAATGCACACTTAAGCTATAAGCCTCTTGCAACACGGTGTAAATGTCTAAATACTACAGCTGAAAGTATAACCTCGTTGTCCGACCATATTATAGTACCATGTAATAATATTTCGTGAACAACTGGGATGATGGTTGTCAGTAGTCAACTCCAACAGTGAAGTTGAGCCAAAGAGAGAGAGCAGAGGTGGGGATGCTACGGGTAATGTCACCCAAAGTTGTTGAAGTTCATTAAGTTCCATGTTAGTGTACTTGCGTACAAATTCTTTGTGCATGCCTTTTTTATGGATACGAAATATTTAAAGGCATTCATAAATAATTAATAAGAAATATTGTGTTCTTTTGTTTGGTGTTTCTGGATCGGAAATGTTAAGTTATACCCCCATGGCATCGTGATTCCTAAACACGACTATCAAGTCAGAAATACTGAATCACAATGAAAAGCTTAGTTAAAGGGATGACCTAGTTCTTGAGTTCCCGGCATATAATTGAGATTTATTTAGCTTATATAATTAAATATGTAGTAAAAATAAATAAATAAACATGTAATATCTAATCCCATTAGACATTTAGTTGATTTTAATCGTTAGAAGAGATTAACTTATATAAATTTTTAGCTACATATGCACCGCTTTGTAAGATCATCTTTATGCTTATGTTCTTCATTTTCATGATGATTCATGAGAAGCTCTCAAATTGTTGAGCCTCTACAATTATTCACATTGATACACTAACAACAGATGATGGAATGAGAGGTTGGATTGACTAGCAAGATCACTCACTTGAAATAATTAGGTTGGTTGAAATAATTAGGTTGGTTGAAATAATTAGGTTGGGCGGTGCAGATAAGCTAGGGCTTTCTCTTTTTCTTTGAGGGAAAATTCTTTGCATTTGCATTAGGGACATAAAAGATAACCAAGGGTATTTATAATACCCCTTTGTTGCACCCTTTACCTTGCGTCAATCCCATTCACTTGCCCACTTTGGACTTGTGACTCGAACCCTTTTTAATTAAAAAAAAAAAAAAAAAAAAAACTCAGCGTCTATTTTAGGGAGGTGCTATCTGCACACCTTTTTACCTCTCACACGCCCTTTCAATTTTCGGCCATCAGATTGAATGAACTGAAGAAGATTAATAGACAAAACTTAACAAGGGTATGTTGGAAGTAAAAAATAGTATGTGAATAACACTCCCCTTATTTTGTTTAACCATGTCCAATAGGTCCAAATAATTAATCTAATATAGTTAAAAATTAATTATATCTTATCATCATCCATGTAACACCGTTAGTACTATCATAGGTGTGTGACCTCTTAGGTTCTAACTAAAGTCGCGGTGAAATTAATCAATAAATTCATTTAATAGAAAACTTTATTTTAATCCTTGCAAATATGACTTTTAGATTAAAACCATGAGTAAAATCAAAATCTAATTTTAGTTCCTTGATACATTAATAACCTCATTTATTAATTATATTTTAATTTTTTTAATTATTTCTCTTTTATTCTTCCTAATTTTTTATGTATTAATTTTCATTTTCATTTCATTTATCGTAATATATTTTGTTGTAAACATTTAAATAAAATAATTTGTGCTATACAACATATTTCGATGTACTTTTTCTTAATCATTTAGGTACATTAAATTCTTTATAATATATTTCGGTGCATACATTTGGGTACATGCATTTCGATACAAAC